GAATTGGAAACACAGCAGCCAGATTCGCACTGGCACTCGTATATGGGATGCAGCTTCACAGGTGCTGGTTTAATCTGCGGGGCCCGTAAGCCCAGCCCTTAGATCACACCCTTTGATGCAATTACATTTCTGCCCTCCTGTCCCTGCCTTGGCTAGGACGCCACCTGGGACACCCTCATCCCCTACTGGAGTGCCTGTAGTGGAGTCCTGGCTCCACTCTCAATCCAGCTCCCTGCTAACGCACACCCTGGGGGGCAGCAGGTTCAAGTAGCTGGGTCCCTGTCACCCATGTGAGAGATCCGGATGGAATTCTAGGCTCCTGGCTTCAACCTGGCCCAGCTCTGGCTATTGCAGGTATGTGGGGAGTGAATCAACAGATGGGAGATCTCTCTCTTTCTCTCTGTCTTTCAAATAAATAACTTTTTTCATAGATCATTCACCCTGGATCTTTGGGTCTTTATTCTGAAGTCTCCTGGGCATACAAAACTCTGATGAAATAAATGCGCTCTATCCTGCCTCTCATCAACCTGCCTTGCATTACAGGGGTGTTGGCGAGGACCCTCACGATGGGTGAGGAAGGGACCACCCTCCTTCCCTCCCCTGTAACCTCAACTGCTACTATGTGGGCGTGCAGTGCCTGCGGGCTTGGTGCTGAGTCCTGGACACTCATCTCGCCAAACCCTCCAACAAATAAGGGCATCATTATTCCACTGGACAGAAGAGAAAGCTGAAGGTCCCAGGCTTGCCCCAGCCACACGCTGATAAGTTGGGCCAGCCAGGCTCGGTTAAAAACCAGAGGTGCTGCTCCTTTATCTGACAAAACAGAACAAAACCCAGGTCCCAGCTCTGCAGGGGGAGCTCCTGAGGGACGGCTTTGCTGTCTGCCTTTCCCATTCCAGGTGTTCCCTGCTCCTGGTGCCAGGACCAAGTCCCGCCCTCCAGCAAGCTGGTCACTCAAACATGGTCACTCCAGGGTCCTCCCAAGAGCAGCCCGGCAAGGGAGGGGAGGGGAGTAGGGGGAAGGCCAGGTTCTGTAGATGGCACACAGGGTTCCATGTCACCTGGGCCACTAGGAAACAGGGAGCTGGGGATCCGGGCTGTGTCACCGGGCAACGATCAGTCAGCCCACAGGGAGGTCAAGTCCCGGACCCTGCTTCATCACTGTCCGATGGCCCAGCAATCCCGCTTCTCGGCATGGATCCAAAAGAATAGAACACTGACCTTCAATCGAAAACTTGCACCAGAACACCCACAGCAGCTGGGACCCCAACGCCCACCAGCGTTGATCTACCCACACAATGCAGGATGCGGGGGCCAGCACTGGTGCCGGCTACAGCGCCTGAGCCAAGGAAACATGGCATCTAGTGCAGGAAGTCAATGCTTTCTACGGAGCGTGTGGAGCAGGCACATCCATCTGTGTGCACGGAGAACACGCGGCTGCTTGCTAGAGGCTGGGGGACATGGAACTCCACACCGGCAGCGGCAGCCCGCCACTGTGAAGACTTTGAAATGGCTGAGTGTCGAGCACTACCCCTCAGCAAAAGGAAGCAAGGGGAGCAGGGAGGAGGGGAGAGAGCAGGCAGGGCTTTTAAAGCGGATCTCACAGGAAGCACTTAGTGACCACAAACCTTTAACACAGGGAAAAATCCGAGGAGACGCCCATTCAACAGAGCAGATGCCAGGTGCCACGGGGACCAGAAGGCCCTGGGGTGGGCAGAGTGGCTGTCAACAGGGAATGTCAGTTAGGGTGAGGAGGCGACATGGCCGCTGAGATCACAGGCCAGCTCTGCTGCCCATCATGGGAGGCCCGGGGTGAGGTCCCTGCTCCTGGCTTCAACCTTGCCCAGCTCTGACGGCTGCAGGCATTTGGGGAGGGAACCAGTGGATGGGAGCTCTAAACTTGTCTTGCAAATAAAATGAAAATGAATAAATACAAGGGAATAACACCAAAGACACTGCGGCTCTGGCTTGCTCCATCTGGGATCATGAAAGCCAGCCACCACAGCAGGTGCACACCCACGCCTTTCGGGGGGGGCCCATGTGCATGGCAGCAGGTGCTGAGTCAGCAGCCACGGGAGAGGGCCACACGGTGAGGGTCCCTCCGACCCCCATCTGTAGCGTCCCTGGACGACACGTCCACTGCAATGTCTTGAGAGAGCTGCGGCACAGCCTCCAGATCACTGAGAAACCATGAGGCCGCAAGTTATTACTGCTATTACTGTAAGCCACTAAGTTTTGGGGCAATTTGTAATTGCATAGATAACTGATACAATTACTTACTTAGCTCTTTGGCCCCTGCACCCACGTGGGAGACCTGGAAGAAGCTCCTGGCTTCAACTCTGGCCATTGCGGCCGTTTGGGGAGTGAACCAGCGGACGGAAAACCTCTCTGTCTCTGTATCTGCCTCTCTGTAACTCTGCCTCTCAAATAAATACCCAAGGACACTGAGCCACCTAGCACTTCACTGCCTCGCCCAAGGACACGAGCAGTAAGTGGGAAAATGAAGACTTGGCCCCGGGGACTCTGGAGTACGGACCGGTAACCCTGGCATCACAGTGGCCGGCATGACTACAGGTGAGCGCTACTCATCATTCATTCCTTCAAAATAGAGGTGGCATCTGCCACGTGCTGGACACTATTTGGGGGACAAGGGGAATGAGATGAAGCCCCCATTTTTCATGGTACCACATCTTTTTTAAAAGTTGATTTGAAAGGCAAAATGACAGAGAGAGAGCGAGAGACAAAGAATGAAAGAGAGAGAACTTTCCAATTGCAGTTTCATCCCCCAAATGCCCACAATGGCTGGGCCTGGGCCAGACTGAAGTCAGGAGCCAAGAACTCCCCCCAGGTCTCCCACAGGGTGGCAGGGGCACAGCATAAGCTCTTGGGCCATCTTCCAATGCTTCTCCAGGCTCATGAGCAGGGAGCCAGAGGGAAAGTGGAGCAGAAAACGACCTGGCACCCTGGAATGGGATGCTGGTGTCACACACATGGCAGCTTAACCAGCTGCACAGCAATGCTGGCCCCTGGGAGAGATGGGGCGGGGGGGGGGGCACTCCTTTAGACAAGATAGTCCCAGATGTGCGCCTGTCTGAGGCAGCGTGGGAGCAGAGACTCGACAGCAGGAGGAACAGGCTGTCACGCGAAGAGCAAAGACAATGATAGTCCAAGCACAAATAGCAGATGCAAGGCCCTGAGACAGAAACAGCCTGATATGCTGGAGGAATGGGAAGGCAACCAGAGCAGCTGCAGCAGGGTTGTAGGTGATAAAAGCTTAGTCCGGTGGGCTGGGGTTCAAGCACCAGGCCTTGTTGGCTGCCACGGAAGAGTCCAGAGAATATTCTCAGAGCAGTGAGGAGTCACTGATAAGTTTTGATTAGGCAGGGAGCGATCTATTTTATCACTGAGAAGGATGAGTAGTTCCGGTTCTTTAAGCCAGACCCTCTGTCTCCTGCTCCTACCCAGCTGTCCTCCCATGATGTGCATACAACCAGTGACTGTACACAGAGTGCTACAAAGTGACAGTCCTGGTCCCTTCCAAGCTGCCCATCTATGTAGGTTCAAGGGTTCAAGGTCTGCACCTGTGCCAGGAGCAGAGGAGACCTTGGAGTGAGAGGGGCCAGTCACAATATGATACGGTGCATGGGGCAGGCCCTGAAGGGTTCCACAAAGATCCAAGAAAGAGGCATCTCTTGCCCTCTCCAGGGGAAATGGGCGTTGGCCTCTTCTCAAAATAAAAGGCAGATAAACAGAAACCACTAGGAAAATACTGGACGGCTATTAGTGAGAGGCTGAAACAGAACGGGTGCCAGCAAGACAAACACTGAGCTAGAAAATGACTCTCGCTAGACCTCGCCCGAGGTTTGTGCTCCGGTCCTGAGCACTTTCCCAGGTTTTGGCTCCTTCTGGATCTCTCCATCCGCATCTGGAGGGGGCCCTGTGGCCACATCCACACTCACCGATTGCTCGTTCTTAGATTTCTATTCTCAGACAGAGACAGAGAGAATACTGCAGATACAGCTCACAGCACGGGCTTGTGCTGGGTTCAGGGCAAAGACATGTCACAAATAGAACAAGGAAGGCTGCCTGGGGACAGTTTTTCTATCTTGACTGGGTGGCAGTTGTGTGTGTCTGTTGAGTCCACGCTGGACATTTTCCTGGGTTTCATACCCAATAAAAAAAAAGAAAAGGATCATAATGATTTGCTGACTTCACCCCCTACCCCAGGTAGAAAGAGAATGAAAGAAATCTCCCATCTTTTGGTTTACTTCCCAAATGCCCCCAACAGGAGCCAGGAACTCAATATGACACGGTGGCAGGGATCTAACTACCTGAGCCATCCCCCACTGCCTCCCAGGAAGCTGGAATCCCCCTACCCCGGCCCCTAACTCTGATATGGGATGTGCAAGTCTTAAGCACTCAGCCAAATGCCCGCCCCCAGGCTACCACTTGGCCGTGCCTTTGTTTGTACCTAGCCCTGGGCTGGGCGTTGCACAAGTTTCTAATGTCCCCGCCAGGCTAGCCCCATTTCACTGCTGAGGAATCTAAGGCTCAGAGAGGGCGAGCCACTTATCAAAGGTCACGCAGCAATAAAGAGCCAAGGCAGAATTCGGTTTCACATCGGGGAATGGTAAACACGGCCTGGCAAGAGTGGGAGGCACGCACCTTGCCCCAGGCTGTTGCGGCTGGCGGAGCCCTCGCAACCCTGTTAGCTCAGAGACTGGTCCGCGATCCCTCGCCCAGCTATCAGGCAAACCCATCACGGCCCGGACTGCCGCCCCAAAGCCCCTTTGGAGCGGAGCAGGCTCCTCAGAGCCGGCGGGATGGGCGGAAGGAGGGAACAAGAGCGAGCCCTCTTTCCACCTGCTTAGACCCAAAGCCCGGAGCCGCGGGCGCGCGGAGCTGGGTAGAGACCATGGCCGCGTCCAGCCTCCCGCACCTGGCGCCCCCGTGCGCCCCCGAGCGCCCCCGAGCGCCCCCGGCCCCCGACGCCGCCCTACCTTGGTGGACGCTCCCGTGTCTGCTGGGCCTGCCCGGCGGGAGCGCACTGGCTCCAGGCTCGCTCATGGCTGCGCGCGGAGCCGCAAAAGAGGCCGCCGCGCCGCCTGCCCGCCTTCCCTCCCGGAGCCGGGATTCCAGGTTCCGGCGCCAGCGTCACAGAGGCCGGGGCGGGGCCTCGGGGCGGCCCCACCCACCAAGGCCCCCCCACCCACACCGCAACCCCAGGGACCCCCGAGAGCCCGGGCGTGGGGATGCCGGAGGGGCCTGGAGGGGCGCGGGCTGGGCGGACTCCGTACCCGCGGCGTTGCATGAGTGGCCACCTGCAGGTCTCGCTGAGCTGGAGAGCAGGAAAGCACCTCAGAGCCCGAAGAGGAGACGCGGGGAGCCGGCCGTTGGGTGTCCGTCCGTGCGGGGAGGTCTCTCCAGCCCCGGGCACGGTGGCGAGCGCGGCGGGGCGAAGACTTGCACGACGCGCAATTTGGATTTTAAAAGTTTACACCAACGGTACACAAAATTGCCCCCACATCCACGGTTCATTCTACGTGTACATAGAGCCATGTGCAGCTTTTTTAAAAAAATGATGGATTTATTTATTTTAAAAGCAGAGTGACAGGGTCGGGGCGGGGAGTGGGGAGAGAGAGAGAGGAGAGAGAGAGAGAGAGAGAGAGAGACTTCCACCCTCTTGTTCACTCCCCATACGCATGCAGTAGCCCAGGCTGGGCCAGGCTGAAGGCCGGAGCCAGGAACTCCCTCCAGGTCTCCCGCATGGGTGGGAGGAGGCCAAACCGCCCCCCCCCCCCCCCCATGGCGCATCAGCAGGAAGCCGGATCTGGCTTTTTGATGAGAGCATCCGAAGTGGATGCTTAACCCCCTGAGCCCCAACGCAGGTCCCCTGTGTGCACCTTAAAAGAAAAATTGAAAAATTGCTACACATATAAACTATTAAGTAAATAGGGAGATGTGATACTTGCGCAGAATTCCACATCTTCCCGTCCTGCTCTAAGATGGCTTAGACCAGCGTGGAGGTGGGAGAGGAGCAGCTTTAGTGGGCAAGACCTGACCACGGTCCTAGGACAGGCAATGGCCAGGAACACCAGCAATGGTCGTCACCTGGCTACTGGGCACCGGGATAGGACGTGGTCAGAGCGCCGTTTGGTCTCTGTGCTTTCTCCTGAAAACCCATCAGCCCAGGCGAATCGCAGAGAAAAAAGACAAACCCCAGCGGAAGGGTGTTATACAGAATCCCTGATCGGGACTCCTCACAAGGTCAAGGTCATTTATAAAGATAAACACCCTGAGAACCAGTCACAGCCAAGGGAGCCTCAGGAGAGGCGACAGTGACCTTACACGGGGTCCCGGGACACAAGTCGAAACGTATCAAGCAAAAATTGCGGAAATCTGAATAAACTACAGAAGAGCTAACAGCCTTGTGTCCATAGCCACGTGTCGGTGTAAGACGTTACAGGAGGGGGAACTGGGTGTAGGCACTGGGAAACTCTCAAAGCAGCCTCAAAAATTTTCTGTAAATCTGAAAGTATTCTAAAATAGAAACCTTTTTTTTTTTTTAAATTGTTATGTTAAGTAACTGCCTGTCTCAACGTACAGAGAAACCTTCCATCCACTGGTTTACTCCCCAGATGCCTGCAACAGCCAGGCCTGGACCAGACTCCATCCAGGTCTCCTCCTGGGATGACAGAGACTCAAGTACTTGGGCCATTACAGCCTTCCCAGGGACCACATTAACAGGAAGCTGGAATCAGGACCAGAGCCAGGGGTCAAACCCAGGTACTCTGATGTGTGAGTTGGGCTTCTTCTTAGCCACCAGACTAAGCAAACGTTAACTTAAAAACCACCACTGAAGAGTGCGGCACAGAAGAAGCGTCAAGAAATTATAACTAGGGGCCAGCATGGTGGTGCAGCGGGTTAAGCCTCCACCTGCCACACTGGCACCCTATACCGAAACACCAGTTTGAGTGCCGGCTGCTCCACTTCAATCCCGCTCCCTGCTAATGCACCTGGGAAAGCAGTGGAGGATGGTACAAGCGCCCCTGCTACCCACATGGGTCAGAACCTGGCTCCTGGATCCAGCCTGGCCCAGCCTGGCTGTTGCAGCCATTTGGAGAGTAAATCAATAGTCTCCCCCGCCCCTGCCCCGCCTTTCAAGTAAATGAATATTTAAAAAGAAATGACTATTTCAGTTGAGAGTCAGCCCCTCTCTCTCCCCGCTCATCAAAGACCACCTCCCAATCCCCAGTCCCAGCCAGCAGATCTGCAAGGGTTCCTGGGATGGCAGCACGCGACGCAGTAGAAGGGACGGGGATCCCCAAATTTTGTTGTGTGGACCAAGAGCGTTGACTGAGCTGGGTGGGGGGAACCCCAGCTAGGCTTAGCCCAGGTTCTGTCCTCCCCCGTGTAAGAATCCAGCCAGGAGACGCCGACACAGGTGGACCGAAGAAAGGCGAAGGACTGCGCATGCTCAGACATGAGCGCGCACGCTCGCAGCCCAGCGGACCCCGCCCCCAAGGCTAGGGCCCTCCTCTGTAGGGCAGGGCCTGGTGGGCGCTCCGAGGGCTGAGGGGTTTGTGTGGGGCTGCGGTGCACGTGGGCGTCCCGAGGCAGGTGTCGCGGCGTCTGGAGCGTGATGGGAACAAGGCCGAGCTGCACAGCGAGGAGCGGCTGGGCCGGTCCTCAGTCATGTTGGGTGGGCCTGGAAGATGGCGGGATTTGGTGGTGCTCACGGCCTGGCTGCTGGCAGCCCTTAGCTCCTTCTCCCTTCCGGCCTCGCTGCACCACGGGGACCTAGACAGGGGCCCCAGAACTCCAGGCGCTCGTCTTCCTCCTGCTGGCCTCCCCTGGCCCCTGATCCCGGTCTAGCTATGCATCCTGCACCAAGTAAGGCCTCGAGTACTGTCCAGGGCAGCGGAATGGGTCCAGGATCCTGAACAGTCGCTTCTCTCCCAGAACAGGAGAAGGTCATCCTCGCACATCCTAGGGAGTGTGTCCCGGCACCCCAGTGGACACCTGAAACCACAGAGGTCCTGAGCCCTCCCTGTACTGTTGTTTCCTGGACACGCACACCCGTGATAGAGGTGAATGTACAATTAGGACAGGCACACCCGTGATGGAGGTGAATGTACAATTAGGACAGGCACACCCGTGATGGAGGTGACTGTACAATTAGGACAGGCACACCTGTGATGGAGGTGAGTGTACAATTAGGACAGGCACACCCGTGATAGAGGTGACTGTACAATTAGGACAGGCACACGTGTGATGGAGGTGACTGTACAATTAGGACAGGCACACCCGTGATAGAGGTGACTGTACAATTAGGACAGGCACACCCGTGATGGAGGTGAATGTACAATTAGGACAGGCACACCCGTGATGGAGGTGAATGTACAATTAGGACAGGCACACCTGTGATAGAGGTGACTGTACAATTAGGACAGGCACACGTGTGATGGAGGTGACTGTACAATTAGGACAGGCACACCCGTGATGGAGGTGACTGTACAATTAGGACAGGACACCTGTGATAGAGGTGAATGTACAATTAGGACAGGCACACCCGTGATAGAGGTGAGTGTACCATTAGGACAGGCACACCCGTGATAGAGGTGACTGTACAATTAGAACAGGCACACCCGTGATAGAGGTGCTGTACAATTAGGACAGGCACACCCGTGATGGAGGTGAATGTACAATTAGGACAGGCACACCCGTGATGGAGGTGAGTGTACAATTAGGACACACACACCCGTGATAGAGGTGAGTGTACAATTAGGACAGGCACACCTGTGATGGAGGTGACTGTACAATTAGGACAGGCACACCCGTGATAGAGGTGAATGTACAATTAGGACAGGCACACCTGTGATAGAGGTGACTGTACAATTAGGCACACCCGTGATGGAGGTGACTGTACAATTAGGACAGGCACACCCGTGATGGAGGTGACTGTACAATTAGGACAGGCACACCCGTGATGGAGGTGAATGTACAATTAGGACAGCCACACGTGTGATGGAGGTGACTGTACAATTAGGACAGGCACACCCGTGATAGAGGTGACTGTACAATTAGGGCAGGCACACGTGTGATGGAGGTGAATGTACAATTAGGACAGGCACACCCGTGATGGAGGTGACTGTACAATTAGGACAGGCACACCTGTGATAGAGGTGAATGTACAATTAGGACAGGCACACCTGTGATAGAGGTGACTGTACAATTAGGACAGGCACACCCGTGATGGAGGTGAGTGTACCATTAGGACAGGCACACCTGTGATAGAGGTGACTGTAAAATTAGGCACACCCGTGATGGAGGTGACTGTACAATTAGGACAGGCACACCCGTGATGGAGGTGACTGTACAATTAGGACAGGCACACGTGTGATGGAGGTGACTGTACAATTAGGACAGGCACACCTGTGATAGAGGTGAATGTACAATTAGGACAGGCACACCCGTGATGGAGGTGACTGTACAATTAGGACAGGCACACCTGTGATAGAGGTGACTGTACAATTAGGGCAGGCACACGTGTGATGGAGGTGAATGTACAATTAGGACAGGCACACCCGTGATGGAGGTGGACTGTACAATTAGGACAGGCACACCTGTGATAGAGGTGAATGTACAATTAGGACAGGCACACGTGTGATGGAGGTGAATGTACAATTAGGACAGGCACACCCGTGATAGAGGTGACTGTACCATTAGGACAGGCACACGTGTGATGGAGGTGACTGTACAATTAGGACAGGCACACCCGTGATAGAGGTGAATGTACAATTAGGACAGGCACACCCGTGATAGAGATGGAGTGTACAATTAGGACAGGCACACCCATGATAGAGGTGACTGTACAATTAGGACAGGCACACCCGTGATAGAGGTGACTGTACAATTAGGAGAGGCACACCTGTGATGGAGGGTGGATGTACAATTAGAACAGGCACACCTGTGATAGAGGTGAATGTACGATTTGGGACAGGCACACCCTTAATGAGGTGACTGACTGTACAATTAGGACAGGCACACCCGTGATAGAGGTGAATGTACAATTAGGACAGGCACACCCGTGATAGAGATGAGTGTACAATTAGGACAGGCACACCCGTGATAGAGGTGACTGTACA